AAACCCCTTTGACAGACTAGGGTGGGGGAGGAACTTTGCCCCTGGACTACACCCCTGGGTCCCGTGTGCTACAAACACAAAGGAAAACTAAAACACATCTACAAGCTGGAAAGCTTCTAAGAACATCTAGTCGTCTAAATTATGATCACTAAATCTTTATCGATACATCTTGAGCTTACAAGAGTTGTCGTAGTCAGTTTTAAAAGAAAAATTCTAAACGGGATCGATGTACTCGTATTAAAAACTTTCGCGCAATGTGTGCACCTTTCCAACTATCACATCGAACCCGTAGTTATAGCCAATACAATGTTTTTTTTTTCTTCAGAAGCTAAAATACTGGATAGAAGCAAAGTCTATGATACAGTTATAATCGTGTAACAGACTTCTTATATAGGCTACTTCGTAAAGTACATTTGTTTTTCCTGCTATATACAGGGTTATTTTACACATATTACACTGGCATCTTTTTTTGCTATCGTAAGTGGAGTAGTTCATATAAATTAATATAAAGTGAGACTATAACGTAAACAACGTGAATATGTACAGTCGATTTAATGTGAAAGAACCTTTTTGGAACCAGCAGTTTTAAACCACTGACGGCTATTAATACTTATTATATATATTATAGAACACTTATTATATATATTCGTATAAAATCAAAATTTCCGCAACCAATCAATTGGTATTACGCGTTTACTCAGTGCGCTCTAGAAGAACATAATCTAACCAATCACAATAGAGCTCTTGCCAATCTTTTAACCAATCAGGAGCAAAACCAAAACCTGTCTTACTTGACTTACAGGCATTTTCCCGCGCTTTGCGCCGGTTGCATGGAAGTTTTCCCGCGCTTAGCGACAGCTGAACGATTTGCTCTAAATTGGGCTGCACAACAAAGTTGCCAAAAAACTAATCTATAACGAACACTTTGAAGGTGAATTTAGCTACATTTAAAACTTGAACTGAAAAATTTAAAGCCGTGCCATGTTTTAAAAGAGGAGGAAGCAGCAAGTGAGGCGGCTAGAAATACAAATATTGTTGAACGACGAACAAACGCTATGTGAAGTATATATGAAATAATTCATATTTGAACTGCGGTAGTAGATGAAAGTGAAGTATGATCATCGCAGTAAATTTTCCAGTTTAAGCAACTGG